TCTGCGGTTGAGGTCTCCGTTGGCGCTGCCATCTGGTCCAATGTCAACGCCAAGATAGTGCATCGCCTCCGCGCTCGGGATCGGCCCCCCCGAAGGCGTGCTCAAACTAAAACTCCAGCCAACAGAAATCCATTCAATTTCCGAACAGCGGACGGACATGCCGCATTGGGCACCCGCCTTGGCCGCGGCGTCCAACAGCTCCTGCGAATGGCTCTCGCTGGCTCCAGTGAACGAAGATCGAGCAAGCCGTCGTCCAAGTTCCCCCGGGCCTCCGCAGACAGCGACCTCGTCGCATCCTCAACGACCACCGTCATCCGCATGACAATAGAGAAGGGCGATAATGGGCACCATTGCGAGATGCCGGACAGCCGAGCTCGCTCGGCCGACTCCCCCGCGCGGCAGACAGCAGAAAAGCGGCGGCCCCAGTAGACGAGCCGGGTCATCCGCAGGATCCTCGGCGGCACGCCGAAGCGTTTGAGCGCGACAACGAGCGCGTCGACGTCGGTGACACCAAACACCTTTTCCCAATTCAACGCGACCACGCCCACCTCACCAGCGTCTTCTGACAACGAAGACATCCTCAGCGCCCCTCCCGGCCCTGAAGCCAAACTGCGCCATTGTCCTCCTTTGCTCTGCGCCCCCCCCGGTTCAATCGACGCAATAGAACGGGAAGTTTGTACGCCACGCAGACAAGACTAATTGGCCTGTAATTGTTACATTCCTGCTCCTTTTCTTGCGGACTGGCGCAACTGATGCTTCATGCCAATCTGAGGGCGTCTGATCTGCGGCCCAGCACCTGTTACACAGGCCAAACACCCGCTGAACCCCTCGCTGCGCGCTGCCTGCGACTGGCCAAAACTCTGCGGGAACATCATCTGGACCAGTGGCCTAGCCCTTCTTGAGCCCCCTCAGACAACCGGGCACCTTCTCCGCACTGATGGCTTCCAAGCCGAGGGCTCTGGCCCGGGAGGAGGGCCGTCGACGAGGCCTGGAGGGCGCACGTTCGACGAGGTTGCCTTCACGGTCCCGCAATTTGCCTCCGTCTGCGCGCGCGGGCCTCCTCGTTCTCCTGATCTGCCCCCAGCTGCCAAAGCGGAGGAGTTCGTCGGCGCACTTCACCCTGCCCAGCTCGGCATGCTTCCTGGCGCGCTCGCGCGGATCTCACTGGAGATGGGGGTCGCCAGCTTCTCTCGCCTGCCGTCGCTGATCCAGCATAAACAAAGTCGCATAAGAAATCCATGGCTTGTTTGGCCTCCTTTGCCACTGGCAGGACGGCTGCGGCCGCGGCGACGGCGGCGCCCCCCATCCGCCACGCATCGTCGGCGGCCCCCCCCCCCGGCCGCCGCGGTCGCCTCGCGTCGCGCGGAGCGCAGCACAGACAAAACCCAGAACTCCCCCCCGCACTCGAAGCCGCAGAGAGCAGAGACGATCAAAGATTTGCTTGCAAGATTACACGGCAGATACGCACCGAGGGGACACAATGGAACCAGTCCCAACCCAGCTTCTGACACAGGAGTCACTCCCAGACAAAATCAGCATATAACCAGCTTCAAAGCGCGCGCCGCCTCATAATACACACGTTTCTTACATGACAACATGTCCATACCCAGTTTGCGCACATGCTGGATTAATCCATGGAGCTTCAAGTCTGCGAAGCATTCCAAGACCGCACACCAGCGCAGACGTGGAGAACGAGTTCGTTGAAGGGCCACCACCAGGACAAGGAAGTCCCGCACCTAAGCTGTCGCTGGCGCAGGGTGAAACTGCGCCCACGCACTCTCGGCGCCATCACCTTGACGGGACTTTGCCCGCCCCCTTTGACACCCCATCGCCCCTCCCTGCTCTTGGCCAGGCGATCGCGCGCACTCTGGTGGATGGCCCTGAGCTCTGGGGGGTGTCGGAGCTCGCCCCACTTCTCCCAGTCCTCGCTGATCCAGTCGACGCCGAACTCGCTGCCGGTGACTTTGACCTTCACCACCGGCTTGCCCTCAACCTTCAAGGCGCACATGTCTTTGTTCACCCTGAACGAAAACACTGCGAACTTCCATTCGACGAGCCGGTTCCCGAGCGCACGGAGGAAGCCCACGCACACGCGCTTCTCGAAGGTAGCCTCGACGTCGCAACACAAGCGCTGACCCCTGATCCCCAAATTTTCCTCCACCACCTCTCTCAACGCCTCCAGGCCCATGGGCGTGTCGACCGAACTCACAAAATTCACGATCACCATCACCATGAATCCCCCCCCATCCTGCTCCTTCCTACACACGTCAAGTGGCTCGGCCAGCTCGCGGATCCAATCGGCCGTCGGTTCGAAAGTGCACGGCTTGAGACCCCCATGACCATCGCGCACGATTCTGCCGCCGCTGCGAGCGCCGAGGGGACGCTCGGGGCAACGCTGAACTTGCACAAAGACTCCTCGACCATCTGCGCGACATCCTCCTCCGCGGTGACTTTCCCAATTGCCTTGATCCTCTTTCCCATGTCCTCCTTATTCACCATCTCCCCTTTCAGGTTGCTCACGTCCGCCTCAATGCTGCTGATCGTCATCTTTGCCTCGAGCGCGGCCTTCTTCGCGGACATCGCCTCGTCGCGCGCCTCCGGGGAAATTCCCTCGCTGTTGAGCATGATCCCATTCACCTACTTCATGCCCCTGATCATTACATGCATCATGCTCTCCATGCTCATGCTGTTAACCTCGTCCACCTCCACCTCCTTTACTTCCTCCACCTCTTCCGCAGCCCCCCTTCGCCTTGCCTGGGGACACGAAGCGCGCCTGTTTCTGCACACCGCCGGCGGGAGAACGCTCCATACGATCCATCGGCGCGTGGGCACTCGACGGTTGCGAACAAACGTTAGCTTGAGCACACACGCTTACTTGAGTCAACATGGCTGCGGGCGTTAGAAACCGACGTACTTTCATGCTTGTCCCGGCGCAGCTGCCGCGTCGGTCCCCGCCGGCGGGGCTGGCCGCGCCAACGCACCCAGGGATGTGATCCGTCCCCCTGAGTGACCGTCGCTTTTCCTCCCACTCTCTGTTCTGTCTGGCCGGCCATTTGCTCTGGCCGATTTTCCCGCTCTTGCATGTCGGCCAATTCGCTGCAACTGTGTCCCCGTTTAGTTAGCTCCTTCCGCCAGCGCAGACGACCCCTGCCTAGCCGCGGACGCAAAAAGTTGTCATGCTTGTCCCGATCTGGGGCGTTAGGAACCCACGTGCTGTCACGTTTCTCCCTCTTTGGGGCGTTACGAACCAAGTGTTTTCACGTTTTTTCACGCGCGTCCCGCCCTGAGGCGTTAGGAACCCACGTATTTTCACGTCTGTCCTGCTCTGGGGCGTTGGGAACCCACGTGTTGGTACGCTTGTCCGGCACTCGGGCGTTAGGAACCATTTGTTTTCACGCTTGTCCTGCTGTAGGGCGTTAGGAACCCGACTGTCTTCACGCTTGTCCCACCCTGGGGAGTTAGGAACCCAAGTATTCTTACGTTTGTCCAGCTCTGGTGCGTCAGGAACCCACTTGTGTTCACGCTTATCCCGCTCTGGGGCGCTAGGAACCCAAGTATGTTCACGCTTGTCCCGATCTGGAGCGTTAGGAACCCACGTGTTTTCGCGCTTGTCCCGTCTGGGGGCGTTGGGAACCCACGTGTTGTCACGCTTGTCCCGCTCTGGGGCGTTAGGAACCATTTGTTTTCACGCTTGTCCAGCACTGGGGCAATAGGAACCCACGTGTTTGCACGCTTGTCCCGCTCGGGAGCGTTAGAAACCCACATGTTTTCACTCTTGTCCCGCCCTGGAGCGTCAGGAACCCAAGCATGTTCACGCTTGCCCCGCTCAGGGGCGTTAGGAACCCACGTGTTGTCACGGTCCCAGGGCCGCGATCCCGCGTAAATAGCGGTCCAACCGCACTCCCAGAACCACCTGGGCATCCTGGGGCGCCCAGGCTTTTCAAGCGCTGCCACACAAGCGTTTCGCGCGAGACAGCCTGTGTTCGGCACGCAGGGTGCGCCAATCTCGAGCGGGTACACAAAAAGCCAACATTCCTTCTGCAAAACAAGCGCGGGACTCGAGACATCCTCGAGAAAACTGCGCGCAGGGCGCACCGTCCTCGAGTGGGCACGCAAAAAGTCAACATGCGTTCATTGTAAAATGTCAGGGTCTCCGAACCTCATGAGTGATCGAAGATTCTATCTCAAACGCTCCGCATCGGGGTTCTGCGGACCCCGCTATGTATCGAGGATCCGAAATTCGGGGCACACTTTCCTCTAGCGGGCACGCGCGAAACGCATTTTTTTAGAAAATGGAGCTTTGCACCGTTGTTGATCGTAGATAGCTTCGCCAGCCATACGCAAGTCGAGGCCGGGGAACGACGCCCTTTACATGAAAAAAAGCACGGCGGCTCCTGCATCGAAGCGAGGTGCGCACCATCGCGCTCTGCCCCGCAGAGCCCAGGCTCGGCACCCGTCATCGTTGGATCGGAGGTTGCCGGAGGTGGTCCCGGGGCAAAGCGCCACCAGCGAAGGCCGCCAGACCGCCTCGCAGCGGGTGCCCCCCAGGGCAGCTGGCCACCCCAAGAGAAGCTGCGGTCACGCTGGGCCAGAGTCGCCCGATGTGGCCCTGGCCCAGTGGCCAAAAAAATAACACAAAAGGACATACTGGTGTCACGCGCCACACTTTGGAGGCACACGTCCGAACCGATCACATATGAAGGGGCCCTGGGACATACAAATAAATACACACAAATAACAAGATTCCCCATATTTTCCTACATTTTCTGGGTTTTTGTCTTCCCCCCCACTTCCCATGTTTTCCCTGATTTTCTGGGGAATCGAGCACTAATTGCGTCTGTGTGTTCATTTTCCTCCTGGATATAATACAAACCTGCTACACCAGATCGTTACCCAGGACGCACGGCCAGAGGGCGCGCCCGCCACCGAGCACAGAAGTACTTCGAGACCTCCGAGAGCGCGCGCGTCGCCCCATGCGTGGCCGACGCACGGAAAAAACATCAGGCAAGCCCGGGTGAGGCCGCGGTGCTCTTCTGCCCTCCCGCCTGAGGGGGCGGCACTGAGCCCCGAGCCTGGGGGAACAAAAAGTGGCATAAACATAAAAACTCCGAGGTCTCCGCGCGGATTTCTCGGATCGGCGCTGGACCCCCCTCCCTGGCGCGCGGAGCGCGCCAGGGGCGGCGCCGGAGGCGCCGCCGGGGGGCCCCAGCGCCGATCCGAGAAATCCGCGCGGAGACCTCGGAGTTTTTATGTTTATGCCACTTTTTGTTCCCCTACGAGCCTGTGCAGGATACCGGCACTGGTGGAGGGAGCAGCCGGAGAGGTAGCCAGAGCAGCACGGCGGCGGCCGGCAGCGCCGCGGCTCCCTCGCCGCCTGCGCCGCGCCCTCCTGCAGGCCCGACCCGGCCACTGGCGCGGGAGGGGGGTGCTCGAGCCGCCCCGGCCAGCCTCGCGCCACCTCTGGAGGGAGAGCAGGACGGCGTGGACCTCAACGCTCGACGGGCCGCGCGGATTCCTTGGATGTGCGCGCGGAGCGCGCCAGGGGCGGCGCCGGAGGCGCCGCCAGGGGGGGGGCCAGCGCAGAGCCAAGAAATCCGCGCGGACCGTCGAAAGAGTATGTTCCGGATAGGAGATCGACTGCAGAGCTGATTCGCCCCAGACTTGTCTGATTTTTACGCCGAGTGCACGAGAAGTACGCCGGAGCATTCAACGTTGTGTTGCGTAGATTCGACGGACAAACAGTTCTGGGGTTACTCACCTCTGTAGTCAATCTCCTAGGCAGCTTTTGCCTGTCCCTCGGGCCTCGGCGGGAGCTGATGTGCTCACGCTCTCGGGCTGGGCCTTCGAGGCGGCACCTTCTGCGGCAACTCGTGGGAGCCTCCCATGACATCGTGTTAGCGCTTGCGAGTCGACCCTACTCGACCCTAAGTCGACCCAACTCGACGCTAACTCGGCGCCAAATCGGCGCTAGTCCACGCTACTCCACTCGAATCGGCGCTGAGTCGGCGCTGTGTCATCGACTCCCAGACGCCAGGCGACGCCAACGCACTCCTGAAGACGGAATCACTCCGAAGACGGAATTACGAGGGTTTACAATGCTCCCCTGATTTGCTACCGAAGGCACCCCTCCCAGCTGCCTCCGCGGCAGGAGCGGCGGTCGTGCCCTCGAGCGCGGCGGCCGCCGCCGCCGCCGCGAGCCCCGCGGCGCGCCCAGGCGTCGGCGCGGCCCCCGCGAGGGGCGCCGCCGGCGAGCGCAGGTCCTTGAAGGCGTGCGCCTGCGTGTGCTGCAGCTGCCGCAGCCGCTCCCCCGTGATGACCGATGATCCCCAGAGCATGCGCCAGCGCAGGCGTCGCCCCGAGAAACTCCCACGGCCCGAGTGTCGTGCGGCCCCCTCGCCCCCACGGCTCCTCCGGCCACCTCGCGCCCTCCGGCGCGCCCTCTTCAGGAGCGCCCCGCCGCTGCTCGACAGCCGTCCGACTCTCCTGCGGCCGCTGACTGAAGACAGTCAGCGCCAACGCGCGCTGGTCCGCCAAAGCCCTCCAGCACGACGCCTGCGGTGCGACGAAGGCCGGCGCAGGCTGCGTGCCCATATCGGCGGACCAGAGCGGGGTAGAGTGGAGGCCAGTCCACAAGAGACCTTCCACAGGAGAGCCAACCCTGAGACCCCAGGACGTCCATCGATTTTTGGTGTGGGAACGTCGCGATTTCCATTGCAAAGCCATCGAAACCCAAGAAACCAAGGCCACGCTGGAGGCAAGCAGGGTGTTCCTCAGCATGGGCTCCCACTGCAAGCGCACAGCGGGCTGGCACACGTGCTCGGGACCATCGAGATGGGGAACAGCCAGATGTGCAGCGCGCACAAGAGGCTCAACACCGGCAGCACCCAGGTCAGCACGCCGGTCACGAAGGCGCGCACCTCCGGGGGCTGGCTGGCGATCAGCCGCCGCTCGCAGGCGCCGACGCAGCCCGCGCGCTCGGCCGCGGCCTCGCAGAGCGCCTCGCAGTTGTCCGTGCGCATGCCCGCGAGCCCCAGCCCGAGGAAGAGCACCAGCCCGAGGGAGCGGCCCTCGTCCTCGAAGAACCGCACCACCCCGGCGCACACGGCCTCCCTGCGGCGGCCGAGGCCGCGGTGGCAGTCGTCGTCGACCGCCCAGCAGAAGGCGTTGACCCTGAAGAAGCTCTGGGGCGAGAAGCAGAAGCGCAGGACGAGGGCGTGGGCGATCCACTCCCAGGGCCGGACGCCGGGGAGCAGGCCCGGCAGCAGCCTCAGCACGGCGGGCGCCGAGACGGCGGCGAGCAGCTGGAGGCACAGGCAGGTCTCCCGCATGGGCGGCGCGCGCCGCCGCAGACAGGCGCCCAGTCGCGACGGGCTCTCTGGCCGGGGAACAACTGAGGATGACGTGAACCTAAACTTTCGGAGTTCCGCGCGGAGTTCTCGGATCGGCGCTGGGCCCCTCTCCCTGGCGCGAAGAGCACGCCCCGAAAAATCCGTGCGGACCTCCGACAGGTTTATGTTTATGTCACGATTTGTTCCCCCATCTGGAGCCTGCATCCACACAAAGCTCCAGAACGGAATGAGAACACCGAACTCCAAGAGCGCGACGATCGCTCCACAGGTCGCCATCGTCACCGCCCGCTCGGAGTTAGTCTGGCCGTTGACGAAGGTCAGGTAGTAGATGCTGAAGTTTGCACTCGCCGTCTCCGCAGCCGTCTGCCAGAACCTCAGTCCAACCGCGTGCCTCATAGGGGCATTCCTCAAAATGTCAATGCTCTCCTGAATAGAGCCCGCCCTGGCAGGATCCCTCGGCTGCCGCGCATCCCGCAGCACCGGAACGGCAACGAGACTGACGTTCACGGACGCGAAGAGCAAGAAGGAGACCACCAGCCGGACGGGCACAGTGGAGATCGCCCACAAGACAAACTGGGTCCCGATGCCCACGATAGCGGCGCACGCGCCAGTGACCTTGCTCATGCCCTCAACCAGCACACGCTCCCCCTTGAAGGGATAGATCTCTGCGCGGGCGGACTCGTAAGCAGTGATCTGCACGGCTATACACCAGCCAGCGACCAGCATGCACGACCCGAGCCACACGTCCAACAGCCAGCTCCCCGCGGGCGGGAGCCACACCAGCCCTGGCAGAAAGATAGCACCCATGACGATGCTCAGCGGCACTACGTGAGTGGCAAACCAGGGCGCTCGTCGCCCCCAGCCCGAGATACTCAACATCGGCGGCTCCCGATCCATCAGGTACCCAGCCAATGGATACATGACGGGGAGCAAAATAGATAGCACTGCAACGATCGCGCCCACGCTGTCTGCGCTGGCGCCGAAGCTCAGGATGTACAGATCTTTTGCGAACACAACAATAAACATAGAAGCGAATGAACCGAAAGCGGTAAGCGTGAAACGTGCACGCCTAACATTCGAATGCCCGCTCGTCCCATTCAGACCGATACCTTTGGGCTCGGACTCTTGCGCGCACTGGTCCCGTTCCGCCGACTCTGGATAGATAACCACCACCTTTGTCATAACAGAGGCAGCAACGCCATGCCCCACGAAAGATAAGACAACACAAGCCTGAGCCAGGGAGGACGCAAATGATGCGGACGTTGGTAGCGATGACCAGCGGCTGTGACGCTGGTAATGGCGAGGACGGTGATGAATCGTATATCGTATGGCAATGGCCACACGCAGAATCAACGCGCAAAATGAATGTGCGCATGCGGTTTCGTCTGCATACGCGCCTGCACAACGCGCCGACATGGGACCGTGAAGGCGCAAGAGAGAGAGACATCAGCATTCGCATGTGCACACTGAAATGTCAATGAACACTTGTGTTAACATGTATGTATGCGGGCGGTGCCCTGTGACACGAAACACGCACACGCTTCTTGGGATTTCCCTGGGGCCCGTAGCGGCCGCACCGGGTGCAGCCGACGACCCAGAACTTCCCCCCCCCCTCCCCCCTTTCCGGGTGATTTCGTATTGGGCGCACCGGCGGACCCACCCCCCCACTTGTGGTGGTGGGCTGGGGGGGAGCTCCTGTGGGACTGGAGGGGAACTCCTGTCAGAGCGGAAAAGTCCCGGGGAATGCGGAGGAATGACGAGGAGCGACATGGGAAGGAATCCTGACATCTCTGCATGAATGCCGTGGTCGTCGACGTCGTCGTCGAATGGACGACTGTAGGGATGCTTGCCAGAAGAACCGTGACTAAGGAATCACTACTGAGGAATTAGGAACTCGCACTAAACAATCATTACGCTAGGAATCCTTATTCAAAAATTATTACTGGAAGTAGCCTGGCTTGAGGGGGTCATTACCACGGACCCCTTTCTTGGGCATGTATTGAAGGAGCACTTGCTACAATGATCCCAACTACGGAACACATGTTGAAAAATAGAACACTCACTCCAGAAATACGAATGAAACCACTGGCCAGACCTTTACTAAAGAAATGCTGAATACGGGAATATGTGATAAACGAACACATTTTGAAATTCCGACCTAAAGAACCCACCCCAAGGAATCTGGAACGAAGAGCCCTTAAACAATTATCCGTGTGCAAAGAGACTCTCATCAGGAATCCGCTTTCCCTTACTCAGGAATCCCAACTATACCTTACCCACGAGCCCCATCCTGACTCAACGTTTGAGGGCGAAGCGTGACTACAATGCTAGGACACCCACCCCTGGGCCACACACACACAATTTCTGTATCAAAACACCCTAGACGGGGCGTGGCTCCAACGCCAGATTTTGACGGGGGAGAAGCGTTCCAGCACGTCATGGTGTCAATGCTGGCGGGGTCCTGCACACTGTTCGTACGCGGGTTCCAGTACACATATTTGCTTCGAGGGGCACTGGTTGCAGCCCACGACGCGGGCTCCAGTACCCAACTTTGCAAAGGGAACATTTCCCCAGCTCATCATGCCGTCAAGAAGGGTGGGCTCCAGCCCCCGACTTTTACGACGGACAGCGGTTCTAGACAAATCGGAAGAGCGTGCGCACGCAGGCGCACGCGCGCACGCACGCGCTCGCAAGCTCAGGATCGGGTTCGGACCTGGGCTCGGCCTCAGGCTCGCGCTCGGCTTCGGGGCTGGGGTCGGCTTGCGCACGGGCTCGGGCTCGAGCTCGAACCCGAGTTTGCGCGCGCGAACGCGCGCGCGCGCGCAAACGCGCACGGACGCGCACGGACGCGCACGCACGCGCGCACGAACGCACACACGCCCACGCCCACGCACACCCACACACGCGCGCACTTGCACGTATACGCACTGTCCCCGTCTGAGGGCGAGGCGCGACTACACTGCTAGGACACCCACCCCTGGGCCCCACACCTCCCCAAAGCTGATTCAAACGTTTCAGCCTAAACGGGGCGCGGCTCCAACGCCCAGGCTTCGCGGGGAACATGATTCCAGCAGCTTGCGCCGCAAAGAAGAGCGGGCCCCAGCATTCAATTCGCACGGGGGACACTGAATCCAGCAGCCCGCAGCGCGAGCTCCAGCACCCAATTCTGACGAAGGAAAATCGTTCAAGCAGCTTCTGCAATCAAGAAGAGTCCAGCACCCCACGCTTACGAGGGACAGTGGGTCAAGACACATCGGAAGCGCACGTGCACGACCGCACACGCGCGCCCGCTCCGGATGGGGCTCGGGCCTGGGCTCGGTCTCAAGCTCGCGCTCGGGCTCGGGATCGGGAACTGGGCCGGGCTCCCTCGCGGGCTCGGGCGCCCGCTCGGGCCCGAGCTTGCACGCGAGCGCGCGCGCGCACGCGCGCACGCGCGCGCGCGAACGCGTACGAACGCGGACACGCGCCCGCGAACCCGCACGAACGCGCACACGCGCGAACGACAGCGCACGAAAACGCACACGCGCACACGCGCACACGCGCACGGTCTCGCACGCGCGCACGCGCACGCGCGCGCACGCGCACGGGACTGCCCCCGCGAGAGGGCGAGGCGCGACCGCAATGCGAGGGCACCCACCCCTGGGCCCCGCACCACCTCACCGACCTTATTTATACCTCAAAAGCCCTAAACGGGGCGCGGACCCAACGTCCAATCTCGACGAAGATAATTATAGCCAGAGTGCAGTATCCCCAAACAGGGTGTTTAAACCCACTGCGGTTTCCAAGGTCGATTGCGTGCCCGTCCAGTGCGTCCAGAGGCGCAGCAGCGGGAGGCGAAAGACAGGAGGAGGGAGAAGGGAAGAGGAGCCAGGCGGGAAGCGGAAAGAGGGAGGCGGGAAAAGGAATGAGACAGGCTGTGATTGGAGCCCCTATGCTACGAAACGTCTCAGGCAGAACGGGCCAGACCATCTCGCGCGCAACATCTTCGAGCTTCGCATTGTGAGGATGGCTCAAGCGAAACGGGCCGGACCACCTCGCGAGTGACATCTTGGAGCTCAGAAGTGGAAGGATGTCTCAAACGAAACGGGCCGGACAACCTCTCGCAGACGTTCTGACAAGTCCACGTCACACTCGCTTCCCTTTTGGTCCTCTCTTGCAACTCCCTTCCTTTTCCCTCCTCCTCCTCCTCCTCCTCCTCCTCCTCCTCCTCCTCCTCCTCCCCCTTCTCCTGCCTGCCCCCTCATCCACATCATCCTCCTCCTCCTTCTCCCTTCCATCTCCTCCTCCTCCTCCTCCTCCTTCTCCTCCTCCTCCTCCTCCTCCTCTTCATCCCGAACGGCATCTCGGAGCCTAGAGGTGCGAGGATGTCTCCAGCGTAACGGGCTGGACCACCTCGCGCGCGGCATCTCGGACGCCAGGGTTGCGACGATGCCTCTAGCGAAACGTGCTGAGAGGAAGTCTCAGGGGAAACGTGCCGGAACACCTCGAGCGCGGCGTCTCAGAGCTCCGAGTTGCGGGGGCCTCCTGGGGCCTCCCAGGGCCTCCTGGGGACCTCCTGGGGCTTCCTCCTGGGCCTCCTGTGGCCTCCTGGACCCCACCCGGGGCTTCCTGAAGCCTCTTGGGGCTCCCAGGGGTGATATCTAACATGTGGCCGTCTGGGCCCCCAAAATGGGGGGGGACACAAGAGCAGGAAAAATAAACGAATCGGCACCGAATGTATATTAACTTGACACGTTCTGATAGGGGGCCTCCTGGGGCCTCCTGGGAGCCTCCCGGGAATCTCCTGGGGACCCCTGGCGCCTGTCCTGGGCGTCCTGCGGCCTCTTGAAGCTCTCTGGGGCCTCCTGGGGCTCCCAGGGTCCAAGGGGGGATAGCATGCGGTCTTCTGGGCCCCCAGGCTGGACCACCTATTGCGCGGCATCTGGGAGCTCAGAATTGCGAGAATGTCTTGTGCGAAACGGGCTGGACCACCTCTCGCGCGGCATCTGGGAGCTCAGAGTTTCGAGGATTTCTCACGGGCGGGACCACCTCTCGCGCGGCATCTCAGAGCCCAGAGTTTCGAGGATGTCTCAAGCGAAACGGGCCGGACCACCTCTCGCGCGGCATCTCGGAGCTCAGAGTTTCGAGGACCCCTCAGGCGAAACGGGCGGGACCACCTCGCGCACGGCATCTCAGCGCTCAAAGTTTCGAGGATGTCTCAGGCGAAACGGGCCGGACCACCTCTCGCGCGGCATCTCAGAGCCCAGAGTTTCGAGGATGCCTCAGGCGAAACGGGCGGGACCACCTCGCGCACGGCATCTCAGCGCTCGGAGTTTCGAGGATGTATCAGGCAAAACAGGCCGGAGAGCCTCTCGCGCGGTATCTCAGAGCCCAGAGTTTCGAAGATGTCCCAAGCGAAACGGGCCGGACCACCTCTCGCGCGGCATCTCAGAGTTCAGTTTCGAGGATGTCTCAGGCGAAACGCGCCGGACACCCTTTCGCGCGGCATCTCATCAGAGCTCAGAGTTTGAAGGATGTCTCAAGCGAACCGGGCCAGACCACCTCGTGCACGGCATCTCAGAGCTCAGAGTTTGGAGGATGTCTCAGGCGAAACGGGCTGGACCACCTCTCGCGCGGCATCTCAGAGCTCAGAAATTCGACGATGTCTTAGGCGAAACAGCCAATCCCGGCCAACTCAGAAACGAGAGTTGTGAGGATGTCTCAAGCGAAACGGCCCGGACCATTAGATTTTTGTGAGGATGTCTATGCTCCCCTTTCCTTCGGCCGGAATTAGCTTCTATCACAACAGCACCCCGTTCAGCAAGCTATCTGGGGGAAAATCGCTCCAGCAGGTCACGCCGTCAAGAAGCGCTGGTTCCAGCACTTAATTTTTACGAAGGGCATTGATTCCAGCAACTTGCGGCGCGGGCTCCAGCGCCAAGTTTCAACGCGGTAAAATCGCCCACGCAGGTAATGTTGCCAGGAAGGGCGGGCTCCAGCACCCAATGATTACAAGGGGCAACGGCCCCAAAACACATTGGAAGCGCGCGCGCTCACGATGGGGCTCGGGCCAGGGCTCAGTCTCAAGCTCGCGCTCGGGCTTGCCCGCAAGCGCACGGGCTCGAGCTCGCGCTCGGGGTCGGAATTGGGCTCGCGAGCGAGCTCGGGCTCGGGCTTGCGCCCGAGAATGCACG